TGTTTAAGTGCAGGAATATTTATTTATATAACATTTATTGATATGATCTATGATGATCTTATGAAAACAAAACTTTATCCATTCATTAATATAATTTTGATATTTGTTGGATTTTTAATTATTGCTCTAACTAGTTTATCACATAATCATACACATTAACATATTTTCTTTGAACATTTTGATATTTTATCAATAAAAAAAAAGCAATAAAGTAATTTTTTTCTCTCATTTCAAGTTGTTTGAAGAGGAGAAATTTATTGTATGAATGTTCAATGAAAAAGAAAAAGAAAGAGGCTGTATAATTTATTCTGGTTGTTCAACATAGTGTATAAAGGGAATTTCTAGGTTAATAAAGTGAAAAAAATGAAAAATGATTATTTTTTCTTCAGATTAATAATTGAGATAGTTTGGTCGTATCAAAATAATAAATTTATATTCTTCAAAAAAACAAAGATATTGTCATTCATAAAAGAATTCACTCATTAAATAATGTATTTAGAAATTTCAGTAATCACTAAATGTCAATTTTTCGTTTTGCTTCACTTGAAAACTAAACCCATCTTCGGAATAGAAGATCTTCCTTGACGGACGATGCGCCGAGTGTAACAGAAGACTCCTCTTGATTGATTAATTTCTTGTAGAATTAGTAGTATATTTACATCAAAATATGCTTAGTTTTTAGAGTTAAAAAACCTTAAAAGATTGAAGTTAATATTGTTTGTTAGCTTTTAAAATTCTAAAAATCTCTTTCTAAATTCTCGAAATCGTTTTAGTTTTTTGAAAAACTCTTTTAATAAAAACTAATGAAAATAAATGAGACATAATAGAAGTCTCGTTGTCTTCTACTACGAAAAGCGTTTCATTATATTTTCAACAATGAGCATTGTGAATTTAAAATTAATCAACAAAAAATTCTTTTTTTTAATAAAATCAAACAAAAAAGATTAATTATCCAATTATTATTACAGGAAACTATCCTGCAAGACAGTAAGAATCCTTACTTTGACTTTTGATCATCACAATACATATTAGTTTATTAATTATCTTATAGCTAATTTATTTCATATCATTTTCAAATACAACAACTAAACTTTTCAATAATGACTAATATTATAGATACAAGGAAATATAAAAAACATCTTGATTTATTATTTTAATAACACGTTCATTACAGGAAAGAAATATAGAAAAAAAATATAAACTTGTGGTGTTTTTGTCGTCATTATCTTAATATATAGTGGATAGTATTAATATTACAAAAAATAGAACAATGAGAGAGTACTTGACAACAGAAATGATTCAAAGAAAAAGATGGGCACAGGACAACGTTTTCTGTCCTGTTCTGTGGCCAACTCTGGTAAAAATACATATTCGCTTACTTTTCTTGATCAATCGTGTACTATTATGACTGATATTCAACATATTTTTTGTTTATTTTACTATTTTAACTAAGTACAATCGTAGATAAAATTTCATCATTTTTTTCCTGTTTCTCAAAAACAACATGAATCAAATTCTGTCGTTAATTTTCATCAAATTTCAAAAAAAATAATGAGCCAGCTGTAGTACCGATTAAACAACACATTTTTATTTCATGTGTCACAAATAAAAACGAAAACGACAGCTTCAGATCTATCTCTTAAGAACACAACTGCCTTTTTTATTCGATCTTGCTGATATGTTTGATGCTTCCATTTGTATTCTGTGAAACAGAAAAAAAAACATAGAATGAAGACTCTACTCTACGGACGTATAGAAAAGAAACGAAAAAATATATTACACTTGAAGCAAGTAATAGCAATTTATATCAGAATATAGTTGCGTATGATACGACATGCATGTGTATATGACTGTTATCTAATAAATAGAACAGATATATTCGATTTATTTAATTGGTTTACTTTGTAATAAAAAGAAAATATTTGTTGTATAACTGTAAGCAAGACCTTGATTTAACAAGATGAATTTGGAAGATACTAAATATGTATCCATGATTGTTTTACTTGCATCGAATTTAATCATGATACTTATTGGTATATGTTTACAACGATTTTTACTTCATCGTAATGGAAATGTTCTTTCCAAAATTCAATATATCATTTCTTGTATAA